AAATTCTAATCGTACAACATACTTATGGACAGGTTGTGTTGAATACTTGACTGAATGCAAACCAGTATAATATTATACATAATATAATTTATATTGTTTACAATATTCTAGTTTATATTGGTTTAACTAGTAATATATAGTTTACTTTTAAATGCATAGCTATTATAGGCTATAGCCTATTAAATATACCAATATTACTATATTGTTATATTATTATACAACATAATGTGCCAACTATTTATCTACCTATATAATACTTGTAGAATATAAAATATGTGCCTATATATTCATTAAAACGTAGATACTTATACTCAGTTAAACCTACATAGAACGTATATTTTTCACTCAATTCTGCCTTTAATTATAAAATCTCTACCTATCCATCCATTATTATTTATAAAATTATAAATTTATAATGCATGTACCTATTATAGGGTGATAATCTATTAAATTAAAGTATTAAACTTACGCTGATATAATAACACTTAATTTTTAAACTTCAACTATGATTTAATCCTAGCTAGTAAGTAGTAAGCCTCCTTAAAAATAAAATTCATTATATGTGTATGTGTGTTTTATTTGATTTTAAAAGTAGTAATTGCAAATACATACTGTTAGGTATTAGTGCAACGCAGTAAATCTGTAGATATTACTTGTTGTCAGCGCAACTAGATATTTGAACAAGGGGGTGCTTAAGTTCCCGATTTTTTTATGACCTAATGGGACTTAACTTTTTAGGCAATTTTTTAGGGTGCTTAAGACCCAAAGCACACTACTCTTCCTAGTTGGCCTAGTTGCGCTAATGTACATAAGTACCTAATACCAACTATATTTTACTAATTTTACTATTTAGTATATAATATAGAAACATATGATGGCCATAAATAAGAAATATATACAGGGTGTCCCGCGAGGATTTACCCATTGTAATACCTTTTTCTAGTTTTGAAGAAATAAAATATGATCACACTGAAAACGTTCGCGGCCGTACGAGCACGCAGACGGTTGGTCATAATATATTAAATTTGGTATCACTACGGTGTTAAAAGTCAGGAAACTGATGAAAATAAAATTTTGAATTTAAATTTGAGAAAAATAAACTACTTGGCTATCTTCATTTTTTATAGAAATAAAT